GTGTCGTCCTAGAGTTGTCCGGCGAGTTAAGCTCTCTTCGAGCGAGTTCATCGGCGATTTCATTTCCTGCCAGCCCTTCGTGGCCCGGAATCCATCCTCTTTTGACAGGCGCGGCTGATCCCACGGCCAGTTTCACGAACTTTTGAATACGCCAGGATGATGAGCCTGTTGTTCCCGTCAGTAAAGCCTGAACAGCCGCAGAATTGTCGAGAAGGATGTAGATAGCGCTGCGTCCTCGATCTCGATTGCTGGCAGTGACTGCTTCTAGAGCAGCCAAAGTTCCATGAATCTCTGCGTCATAGACCTCCGCATTGGTGATTTTGCCTGAGCCGCTTTGCTCGATTACTGTGCCTGTGCCGCTGATAAAGGTCACAAAGGCCCATAACACTCTGTCGGTGGACGCCCCAGAACCATCACTGTTAAAGCAGAGAAAGTCGGGTGGAATTGTAGGCGGCCACTCTCTAATGAACTTGACAGCTTCTTTCTTGCTTGTCCAACAAGGAATCGGCTGGGGGGGTACCGGAGATCGGAGCGGTGGCGGAAGTTCAGCCTCTGGCAGACGTCGGTATATCCTCTGGACCCTCAAATCATGAACTCTATCTAGACCAAGTCTGCTGATGTAGCATGGCGGCGGACAGCTGGTCGGACTCTTTTGTAATTTCTAGGAGCTGTAGTGCGTGCTAGACCTTCGGATAGTTCTGTAGGGACTGGCCCGTCCAGGACGTGACAGTAGTTACGAGCTGTGGACAGGCACGATGTTAAATTTAATCAAATCAAAAAGCATAGAGAATACAAGAATCATTGACCACATACTGCTACCACTTATACAGTCATCACGCGTACCAACACAAACCCTATTTCGCCTTTTTAATATTTATATGAAAATCATTAAACCTGTTGCAAGTTCCGTGATTACCAACACGAACCCAGCGAATCTTATTCAAGGGCTCCTAAGCCATAAAACCTTCCTGTGAGGATGTTTATCGAAGCAGGTTAAAAAATAATCAGCCCAGTGAGTGAGTGTTTATTGTCCTAATGATTCTATAAATATGTAAAGACATGTAGGTCCTTTCTGCCTACAGGCCGGGAGAATGTATGCCTCGGGTACTATACTCCCTCTTATGTCTCCTTCACGACTTCTTTCCAGCAGTAATACCCTCTCAGGTCTTGATTCAAGTATACACTAAGAGGAGCCGTTATCCCGTTATTATATCCCCTCTCCAGCCAACGAAACGATGGTCATTTGCGGGTGCGTAGCCGCAGGAAAAAGTCTCAAAAACCACTGGGTGCGGGGTTCCCCCATGACGAAGAGGCCGGTCAGCCGGGCGCGGCAGACCTGTGTATACCTAAGAGCGTTTCTCAACCTTCCTGGCCTCCTCCTTACTTCTCCCCTAATTCATGCCGCAGGACAAACCGAAGGTCGTGAAAGGATGTCAGAAAAGTCTTGGTCGAGAGTGGCTGTCGTGAAGGAGCCTAGCCTAGCGTTCAAAAGTCGTTATGGACGTGGGGTCGTCGAGTAACTGATTAATTTCAGATGCCCTCCTGGCTAGTAGATTCGGAAGTCTAGATTAGAAGGGACGATATTGTAGACAAGTGGAAACCTGCATTTCTTGAAGGCGGACGGGTCTTTTACTTTGCTTTTTTTTTTTTTTTTACATTTGGTCCTAAGCTAACGCTATCTTTTCCACATTGGGTCAAGGATCGGTGGAGCCGGCAAGGATCACTGCGTACAGGCCCAACTCATTCCAACCGCATGAACTTCTACTGAAATTGTAGAAGTTAACAGCAAAACTAAAATCAAAAACATAAATCAAAAACTGAAATCAAATTTGGAAGAAATACTGTTTGGTCCGGATCCCGCGCTTCTCGCCCGTTCCCTTTCCTGCCACATCTTCCACGTGACTTTTTCTTATCTCCGCTGAGAGCGAAAGACTAGTTCGCAGATACCCTGAATTCAGCTGGTATCCTGCTATATATATTGAAGCTTTTAGTAGACTTCACCGAGGGTTGCTGTACCCTCAGACTTTTTCTTCGGATTCCAGGATTCCGAAACCCGATCCCTCGGCCATCGAGACATCCTTCGTTGAGGCCATCGTTGCCTCTTCGGCCCTTTTGGCTGCAGCCCTAAATCGAGCCACTTTCGCAAACTCCCCTTGCTGGATCTGGCGGATCCGCGCGAGCTGCTCTTTTGTCACCGGTCCGGACATGCTGGGTCTGGCTAAGCAGGCCCGGGAATCCGATCGGTGAGGTCCCCCACAGTTTCGACACCGGGTGAGGGCCTTGCACTCTGATTCTGAGTGCATATTAGATCCGCAATTCCAGCAAACTGGAGCGCGGGAACAACCACGGGTGGCGTGAAATTCAAGACACTATTTGCACTGTTCGATTTTCGACGAGGTCGGAAGAGCTTTGCAGCTCCAGAGTCGTCGAAAAGGCGGAATCCAGATCGAGGAGCGGATTCTCGTGGAAATAGCGCTTGCCAATTTGAGTAGGGCGCCCCTGGTTTGCTAGTCCCATGAGGACGAACCAGAAAGGGAACCAACTGAGTCACTCGCGTGACTTCGTCGGCAACCATCTTTGCCGTCACGGCGATTGGGCCAGCAAGAGTTCGAATTGTCTCCGGGACGGTGGCAATTTGCATGGCAACCAGATTTGATGCTGGTTCCAGTTTGATTCCAGATTCGCTCCGTGATGTGGAGGAATCTAGGAGCTCTGTTCGAGCGAGTTCATCCTTTGCGGTTATTGCAAAGCCGGTCTTTACCCGCTGAACCAACGTGATATTGTTGGCAGCGGTTCCCAGCGCCTGAGACACCGCTAGTCTTACTCCAGCTGGGGAGAGGAGACGGTGGGGATGGAAGTAGTCAAGGCGCAGAAAAAGTCGTCAATCGGCTTTTGTCCTCGAGTTGGCACTCTTTGCTATGGTGGGCTTTTTGTTTGTCTGCAGGTGGGTAGCACATGATATGATATAACGAAGACCTCTCTGACTACCGTTGTAGCGGTTGGTACCGCAACATCTTTCCTCATTCCCAGCATCATCATCATCGTCTTGGTCGTCTTAAGTGTTGTCGGAAGCGTATCTTTGACGGAGGGGGAGATGATTCAGTTCGGAGTTGATAAGGTGTTACTCAATCTCGGCTCTGCAGACTCTACAGTGAGAGCTAGAGGTTTGTAGGGGACGCCACTGAAAGGCGTTGAGAAAAGTTCCCCACAACAATTAGCCCAGACATGTATCAATTTTTGTGAAGCAAAATTGAGCTTCATCTTAATTTTACTGTGAGATCAAGTTCATTATTGCTTCCTTGGCAGGGAAATATATCTAGGTCTTTTATGGTGTTTTGTCAAACAGATTACTCTAAATTTAAATATATTATCACGATGTTTAAGTTGAGTAGCTTACAAGCAATTATCCGATGCGAGGCTCTCATAATGCTAACACGGGGGACTATTCTCAACACCTGTCGGTGGTGTTCCCTACGAACCTCCAGCTCTCACTGTAGAGTCTGTAGAGCCGAGATTGAGTGACAAAGTCCTCACTTCGATGAGGATTCCCAATCGCTTACACGGTCTGTTTCCTCTTCATTCCTAGGCACATTTCCCTATTACCATTATTATTAAGCTAACCACGTTCAGATCAGATGGCATGGTCGAAGCCCTTCTCATCACCAACCCTTGATCATGGAGGAATAGCTATAAAATGAGATACCGGAGCGTACCTAGCACTCGATACGGAGATGGTTGATTGGATCAAGTCGACCTCGAATGTTACAAAGAAGGGGGATATAGATAAATATGCACACCTCATGTGGTCCCGGTGTCTAGGCCTCGCCTGGCTGGGGCAACAGTATTTTTGAGACTTATTCCCGTGTACGCAGTTTCTATTGCTACCATTTTTATATTTTTTTCGATAGAAGGTTCCGAGGGAAAGGTGGCTGAATTCCATGGGTGAACACTAGATTGAATAGCTGTTCATCACGGGCAAGATGTAAATGGTCTTATGTTGGAAATACAGTTTCCTGCTTTTCTTTCTATCGACCAATGTGGTTGCATGCATCTTGCCTGAACTATATTTCTGAGTTCGGGCAGGATCCCACATTTCTGATCCAATCGGACTCAACGTTAGAGTCTGCTTGAATCCCATTCTTCCCGAACAAATCCAGTCATTGGTTTGTTCGTACTTCTATTGCGTGACCCAGTATTCTCAGTCAGTGGATAATTATTTTCTGGTACGGGGCCCCACTTATTTATGCAGTCGAGTCGGTTCCGGGTAACCTCTATTTCTTATAATTCCACTGTATATATCATAATACCTGTAGTCTATTAGTTAATAAAGCAAACTGAACTTCTTCTCCGTTCTCAGGCAATTCTTACTCCGAAGTCTTCTCTATACTCTAACATCTTACAAGGAACATAAGAAGCAAGGAGCACTGTACAAGGTATGGCCTCGGTCCGAGAGGAGGCCAATGTGCTAGATAGTCCATGACTCAAGAAATACAATTAAAACATCACAGTGAGCCCTTGAAAGGCACTTTGACTGCCTCGCAAATTAACGGTCAAGCTGTCCGAAGGAGCCGGGCTCAAATTGCGTCTGCTCCAGTGGACCACTTGGCTTCTTTGTCGATTACACTTGACAACTGTGGGAGGTTCTCGCAGTATTGCTCGATGGGCCCAGTATCGACGTCGTTTTGGCTATAGAACAACAGCGCTGCTCGTTTTCCTGGATCCGAGACATATGAAAAGGATTTACCACTAAACATGGGAAATTATCAACTCATTAGAAGTTTGCACGGCATCGCCAAGAACTTTCTTGAAGGAATGTGGAACGGTTGAGAATCTCCATACATTCAAAGCTTGGAGTTGCCCAGACCTATTTGAATGGCATTCCAGTAAAAAGGTAGTAGAGCTGGAAATATAAATGTCTATGTTGGCCTACGCTCAATCAACTTATCCGCCTGAATTTATATCATCCGACGAGCTCCATTGGCTCCAACTGACCTTCAATCATGCGCTTTTCAATCATCGCCGTAATCTTACAAAACACAATATTCTTCGGGACAGCTCTCGCTGCCCATCAAGGCTTTCACATTAGTGAGGAGAATAAAGCATTTGACTGTGACGGACGTATCATTCGCCATAGTGATTATAGTAGCCAACAATATTCGGCATCACAAAGTATTTCAAACAATGAATATATCGAGACGACTTCAATAGATTTCCTTAATAAATTTTTGATGGACTACCAAGATAGAAGATGTGTCTTATTTTTAGATGGCAACTCGAGAAATTTTTATCTCACCGATCTCGACATAACCCCAAGCAGTTAGTCCTGTTGCTCCTTCGCGTCGGTGAATCACATTTAACTGTTGTGAACAGGCAAAACATACCACAGTAGAACTCATCAAACCTCCTATTCTCTTGTAATCGATAACCGGTACCGCGCAGTTGCCATAATTATGAAGCTCACTTCCATGAAACCCGACGGGACGGGATGGACAACTATGGGGACAGGTCAGAAAATTTGTGGCATTTTTAGCAATGGAGTTATGTGAATAATCAGAAATAGCGCAAGTAGAGGTGAGATAATTTGGAATGAGCTGTCTTGGAAGCCAAGGAAGATAACATCTATGCGAGCCCGTATATTATCTGTTTACTCTGAGGCTAATAAACCCAATTACTCTGTTATAAGGTCTGTCGGTGTCAACATAAATCCGACGAATCTAAATTTTGAGTGCTCCCAAGCCACATAGCCTTTTATTTATCTATTGTTACTTGATTTGTATTCAATAGTCCGATTTGGCGCCGTATGGGCTCACGCAGGGGAGGGCAAGACTGAACACATGTACGCCGTGTCCTCTACGAACCTGGGAGTGAAAAGTTCTCACAGAGCCAAGTTCAGTAAAATTTCGCAATATCAAAGAAGTTGGCCCACGAGGCAATCATTCAAATTACTCCTCCACTTCGTTTTTTCGCTCCCAACGAGTTTGACACCTGCCTAAGTCTCATCAAGCTTACAAGTATGACCAAGTACATCCTCATCCCAATGACAACACCACTCTTTGACCTTCTCTGGCCTTAGTTGATCACCAAATATACGCCCACGCCGATATTTACACCCGACAGAGGAAGCTAAGCGTGGCGCACAAAACTGGGAGACAGTTCTTTGGGATGGACGTGAGAGGGATCCAGACAAGTTGACAAGGTGATGCGAAGGAAGCATATAACTTCAAGGGGCGTGAGATTCCGAATTTTGGCAAGATTTTTACAAATTGAGCTTTGTGCGCGCCAAGACTTCGCTTGTGAGAGTGCAGCTCACACTATAAATACAAGCAAACGATGGAAGGTGTTGTCATCCGCTTCTTGTTGCTGTTCTCCGGTATAGTCTGAGTATCCTGGGCACCTACTTCACTTGGGAGTGATCCGCCAGACGTTATATAAAGATAAATAAAATACTTCACTTGGGAAGGAGACATCTTAGACCATATTTTGCGCGGAGAAAAGTTGAAAGATGATGGGGGCATGTCTGGATAACTCGGGGTTTTTGAGACGTTCCTCCGAGTAGGTATTCACCGATGAGGGTTGACTTGGGGTGAAGAAAAAGCCGCCATGACTTCACAGTTGTACTTGCAAATGAAATCTGAGGCATGACTGCTCTTCCTTGCCGTTGAATTACTTATTCTGTACTTTTCTTTGATATTGTATCATAGCTAGATAGCTGCACACGCAATTAAAATCTGATGCAAAAAAAAAGTCTTTATCTATCTACAGGTTGTTGGAAATAAGGCAGCAACATGACTGCAGAAGACAAATGGTACATATTAGAATATTATGCCTTGGCACCATGAGACATGATTAACCCATATCATCACTCACTGGCATGAATAGTAATTAGCCAATAGATGCCTGATAGCATACAATGGCTTCAGGATCTCCAACAACCTTCCCATTTAGGTTAGATTAGGAAGTATGTTGGAGTTCACACTAGTGTGCGGAAAACCTCGCTTACATGTACATAGAGGGACTTCTCGCCACACATGCAGAATCATAGCAATTACTTTACAATTAACTATCCATTAAACATCAGTAGACTTCGTCGTACATTATGCAAATTCATCATAACTCTAACTCACCCTCATACTTGGAATGTTATTCTTACAATCTTCGGAACCATTCTAATTACATGCGTACATAAATTCACGTTTACATGCGACTTCGAACTTGAACGGAAACAATATTCTTTGACCTATACATTCTGCTCTTCTTACTCTGAAATCGCAACAGCAGCAAAAACTCCCTTAGCTGTCCCATTGGACTCTACGCTATTATAGTCTTACCTTTAGGAAGCGCATTCACACAGCTGTTGCCAGTGTGGATTCAGTCCTTGTCTAGTGTTTCCATTTTCCTCTCTATGCCTGATTAACGCCTCGATTTCTCAGGTCATCCAAGACTACTCTAGCCATCTTTCCTTTTGAATCCACTGTGCAATTTAGGTCATATCTTTGTCCTTATTTACCATAGCTTCGAAAGATCGGGTTGTCGATTTTTGTAGCAACTCACCTCTTGTTAAGCAAAGTTATACTAATATGGATCTCTCTCAGAGGTGATTGAATTGATTGTCCTCTACCATGAGGAATCTATCTAGGTACTGTGTACACCTTGAGTATCCTACTAATTCTAAATATAGACTGAATATTAGATTGCCCATGCGAACTGCTCAAATCTCCGTTCCACACGTGGTTCTGAAATTGGCTGTTACATTATCATGGGCAATAGAGAAAGCGAAACAACCACGGAGTTGTGCGTATGAAATTGGCCATCCGTCTAGTCGCTAGTTGTAACATTTGCATGACTAAGTTATTGCTCTTGATGCATTAGCCCAGTTTACTTGCTTGTAAACTACTCAACATAAACATCATGATACAACGTTAGAATTTAGGGTAATCTGTTTGACAGAGTCGAATAATTAAGGGCTCCCAAGCCATAAAATCTTTCTATGAGCATGTTTATCGAAACTAATTAAAAAAATTATCCGAGACATGTATCAGTTTGTGTGAAGCAAGATTGAACTTCATCTTGATTTTGCTGTGAGATACAGTTGATTATTGCCTCCTTGGCAGGGAAGTATATCTAAGTCTTTTATGGTGTGCTGACAAACAGATTACTCAAAATTTAAATATAGTATCACGATGTTTAAGTTGAGTAGCTTACAAGCAATTCTATTTTTTTTTAAATATCATATTGTATTCAGCTATCTAGCTATGACAAAAAAGGATTAGACTCCCTGATGGCTTACAAACAATTATCCGATGCGAGGCTCTCATAATACTAACACGGGGGACTATTCTCAACCCCTGTCAGTGGTGTCCCCTACGAACCTCCAGCTCTCACTGTAGAGTCTGCAGAGCCGAGAATGAGTGACAAAGTCCTCACTTCGATGAGGATTCCCAATCGCTTTCGCCATCCGTATCATCTTCATCCCTAAGCACATCCCCCTATCACCACTATCATGAAGCAAACCACGATCAGATCAGATGGTAGTGTTAAAGATTTAATCTGTCCATAACTCTGAGCTTGATGATAGCCAGCAAGACAAAGAATATCATGACCTGTCATTTAACATAAAAGGGCGAAAAGGGCATTAATTAGAAGATAGGACCGATATAGTAAGGGGTGATTAGCCCAGATTATTTATGGGCATTGTGAATGTAGTCGGAAGCATCATCATATCAAAGAGGGGTCAAGTGCGACATATATATATACACGTGTCCTATCTCTCTCACTAATTACAAAACCCCGCACTGCCATAAACACCATCTATCTCTGCTATCCATCGTAATCCTGAGTATCATTATGAGTTACTATTATACGGTATGTTTGTACGAGTCGACATCAAGATAGAAATGTTAACAGGTACGGTCGGAGCCCTGCTCATCACCAACCCTTGATCATAGAGGAGAAGCCATCCGATGAGTTTCCGGAGCGAACCCAGCACCCGATACGGAGATGGTGGATGGATCAAGTCGTCCTCAAATGTTACAAAGAAGGGAGATATACATGAATATGCGCACCTCATGTGGTTCTAGTGTCTCGGTTTAGCCTGGCTTGGGCAACAGTATTTTTGAGACTTATTCCCGTGTACGCAGTTTCCATTGCTAACATTTTTATTTTTTTGGGTAGAAGGTTCCGGGGAAAAGGTGGCCGAATTTCACAGGTAGATACTGAGCTGAATGGCTATTTATCACGGGGAATATATCAATGATCTTTCAAGTAACAAAAGAGGCAACGAGCACTGAACAAGGTATGGCCTGGGTCAGAGAGGAGCCCAATGTGCTAGATAGTCCATGGCTCAAGTAATACAATTATCAACATCACAGTGATCCCTCAAAAGGTTCACTCGCTGCCTAACCAATTAACGGTCAAGCTGTCCGAAGGAGCCGGGCTCAAATTACATTTGCTCCAGTGGCCCACTTGGCTTCTTTGTCGATTACACTTGACAACTATGGGAGGTTCTCGCGACCTGGCTCGATGGGCTCAGATCGACGTTGTTTTGGCTATCGAAGAACGGAGCTGCTAGTTTTCCTGGATCCAAGACACATGAAATGGAACTGGCACTAACTATGCAGTATTATCAATACATTAGACGTTTTCATGGCACCGCCAAGAACTTTCTGGAAGGAATGTGGAACGGTTGAGGATCTTCATACATTCAAAGCTCGGAGCTTCCCAGACCTATTAGCATGGCAATCCACTAAAATGGTAGTAGGCCTGGAAATATAAATGTCTATGTTGGCCTACGCTCAACCGACTGTTCCAACTGAATTTATATCATCCGACAGGCTGCATTGGGCCCAACTGACCTTCAATCATGCGCTTTTCAAGCATCGCCGTAATCTTACAAAGCGCAATATTCTTCGGGATAGCCTTCGCTGCCCATGAAGGCTCTCACTTTAGGGAGGAGCTTAAAGCATTTGACTGTGACGGACGTATTATTAGCCATAGTGATTATAGTAATCAACAATATTTGGCATCACTAAATATTGCAAACAATTAACACCCTTCTCAGACTTCGTTGGAATTCCTCCAAAGATTTTTGATGGACTACAGCGATAGAAGATTTGTCTTATTTTTAGATGGCAACTCGAGAAATTTTTATCTCATCGATCTCGACATAACCCCAAGCAGTTAGTCCTATTGCTTCTTCGTGTCGGTAAATCACATCTAACTCTTGTAACCAGGCCAAACATACAACAATATAACTCATCAAACCTCCTATATTCTTGTACTCGATAACCAGTACCGCGCGGTTGCCATAATTATGAAAGTTACCGCTTTGCAACTTGGCAGGATGGGCTGGACAATTACGGGGACAGGTCATAAAATTTGTGGCATTGTTGGCGATTAAGTTGTGTGAATAATCAGAAATAGCGCAAGTAGAGGTGAGAAAATTTGGAATGAGCTGGATCGGAAGCCAAGGAAGATAACATTTATGCGAGCCCGTATATTATCTGTTTACTCCGAGGCTATTAAACCCAATTACTCTGTTATGAGGTCGATCGGTGTCAACGTAAATCCGGCGAATCTAATTTCTGAGTGCTCCCAAGCCATAGACCCTTTTGTTTGTTTATTTTACTTTGAATTTGAATTCATTTGACCGAATTTGGTGCCCTGTGGGCCCATGCAGGCGGCTATGAAATTATCTATATATTTACATGAGGGGGAAACCTTCAAGATAAAAACCCCTCCCCGTATCATGTTTTCTGTCTATAGTCCTTTGTATCCTCCAGGAATTGCAATCGGTCTTAAGTCCGAGACAAGACTAGCTAAAATTGAAATTTACCTCGCCATATTTTCCCTGTCCTCGCGTGCCAAAAAGTGATAATTGTGGTCTTGAATTCGACCCCGATGGTGCAAATTGTTGTGGTATTGGGGCTGGAACCTGGACTTATTTACACGGGCGTCCAGGCCCTCCCTTTAAAGACTCTAGCCTTTGATTAGACACAATTGTGAACCCTTGCTCGTCTATCTGCCTTGCCGCTATTGTTAGTGTAGTTGCCGTGAATGCTTCGCTTTACCTTCTTAACTCCGCCGTTTTCTCCATAAGTCTATACCGTGCCCTCTGGACACTTAACTTGTATGAAGCGAAGATAGGACACGCCTCCTTCTGCCACGATTTATGGTCTTTGCCGCAGTTAAAGCAAAGCACCGACTTCTTCGGGCAGTCTCTGGTCTGGTGAGTGCGCGGGCACTCACCACATCTTTTCGCCCTATACTACGAGGCTTGAGTATGCCCCCATTTACTGCAGTTAAAGCACTACTTGACTTGTGCCCGGGGTGACCAGAGCTGGGCCATGTACAGCATTGAATTGAGTACAATACCGTTTCGTATCACCTCGCGATCACCGACCCTCGAGTATGGCCGTTTTTATTCCTCCATTGATGCTCCTTCCCGTCGTAGAGCCATCTTAGCCTATTAATTTTGATTCCTGGAATCCTGACAATTGTCTCCGTAGTGATTTGATGAATTATTCTGCCGTTGTCGGCATTCTTTCCTCCTTGTATCATCGTCCCCAATGGGACTCTCAAAATTTCAACAGGATAATCCTGCTTTATATCGAAGAACTCCTTTGGCTGAGCCATATTCAGGGCAGCGTCTCGCTGTGAGACCGACTGCACGAACACCTCAGTGTCATTGCTCCGCAACTGCCTTACGGCGTAAGCTCCCTCAATGAGTATTTTTGCCTTGTTAAGCAGCTCTGCCGGCTTCATTTTGTCTGCTCATTCTACTCTTGTTCGAACAGCCGCTTTAGTTGCGGGAGGTGTAACGACGGAGGCGTAAGTTGGTCGCCCTCCTATTTCTTGTGTTGACTGAGGAGCAGTCTTGCGCACTGGCTCCTCAAGACTCTTCTAAATTGCCTTCACCAAGGCTAGCATCCTTTCCTCCATTGGCTTTGCCGATATCTTCGATGGTAACATCTCCGTGTGGGCTTTGAAGGCGTCAAGAGCCTCGTCTATCTTCACCATTGGTGCCGCAGATATGTAAGTACCTGAATTCACCAGTCTGCCTCGGACCTTACTTAAATTTGCCCCCACTTTCTTTAAAAAGTCCATGTTGACGCCTATAGATGTAGCGAGAAGATCTAAAGCCGTAATAGCGGCCGTTCCGCTGCCCATTGTTGATTGTGGTGGTCCCGCGAAATCCACCCTTCTGGTTCCTCAATCGGCCATGCCGAAGCGCGACGAAAATTTTTTGAGGAATCAGGTAAGAGGGATCGAATAAGATGAATGCAATAATAAAAACGATGAAATGACGTTCGTGGAGCGTGGTGCCGCTTTTCGTGAAAAATCATGTTTTATTGATATTATTATTCATATTCATATTCTTTGATTTCATTTAGCCCGTTCAGGTACCTTATGGGCCTATGCAGATATATCTAGCTATAAGATTTGTGTTTGTGTATTTTTATTGTACTACTTGAGTCTATGACTATCTAGCACATTGGGCTCCTCTCTGACCCAGGCCATACCTTGTCAAGTGCTCGTTGCCTCTTTTGTTACTTGAAAGATCATTGATATATTCCCCGTGATAAATAGCCATTCAGCTCAGTATCTACCTGTGAAATTCGGCCACCTTTTCCCCGGAACCTTCTACCCAAAAAAATAAAAATGCTAGCAATGGAAACTGCGTGCACGGGAATAAGTCTCAAAAAAACTGTTGCCCAAGCCAGGCTAAACCGAGACACTAGAACCACATGAGGTGCGCATATTCATGTATATCTCCCTTCTTTGTAACATTTGAGGACGACTTGATCTAATCCACCATCTCCGTATCGGATGCTGGGTTCGCTCCGGAAACTCATCGGATGGCTTCTCCTCTATGATCAAGGGTTGGTGATGAGCAGGGTTCCGACCCTAAAATCTGATCTGATCGTGGTTTGCTTCATGATAGTGGTGATAGGGGGATGTGCTTAGGGATGAAGATGATACAGATGGCGAAAGCGATTGGGAATCCTCATCGAAGTGAGGACTTTGTAACTCAATCTCGGCTCTACAGACTCTACAGTGAGAGCTGGAGGTTCATAGGGGACACCACTGACGGGTGTGTACGAACTCTAATATTTATATAGGAGGAAACCAAATTCGATAAAAACCCCCCAAAACTGTCTGTCTCGTGTCTATTGGATTTCTGAGGTTTCCTACAGGAAGTGCGTTTACACTGTTTATACAGTGTGAATTCTGTCTTATCCTTGTCCACATCGTCTCATCTTTTCGTCCAATGCTATTTCTACTTCTCCTGCAAGCCGGAATTGTTCAAACCAGCCCTTTGCCAGGATCCATTTTGTCATTCTCTCCACATCATATGGGCTGTTTATCAATGCCGCAAATGACCTATCTTTTGCCTTTCGAAGCACCTCTCCTCTTCCCATTGCCCACTGAGGACACGCCAACACCATGTGCTTAAAGTTATGCGACGAATATCCACATTGACGGCTTGGCTTTTCTACTCCTGCTACTTTTCTTCTGCAAAGTTAAGAATTGATTCCGATATGTGATAATTAATTTTTATAAATTATAATAATTAACATCATGCCCGCGCACAGCCCGTGAGCTCCTCACGTGCCGGTTAGCTCAGTCTAAATAAAACTACCCGACGTGTTGGCACCTGGACAAACCCAACAAAGCAAATGTAAGCCAGGATTTATCATCCTGCGCTTGAAGATTATATTATACATGGTTACCGGTCTCCCTTCGACTCTCATGCTTTCAGATTGTATTGAATGAAGAATAGATTAAATAAACAATATGGAAGGGGGAACTTAGTTGAATCACATGATTCCCTTTCGCTCGGACTTGTGCTTTTCCAAAGAAATTTGTTACACGCACCCAGCTATTAAATGCGTGAACTCCCTCCGCGGACGCGAGAGTCCAAGATATGCTGGGACTAGGATTCTGTGCTCTGTGGTGCCGTGCCTGGTACTGCCCAAGGTATTGAAATGTATAACCCACTACTGCGTTCGTGGACTTATTGGTTGAGGGGAGCTTATGCAATAATGAAGGATAAAAGGATGTCAACTCGACTACTCTTCTAAACACAGGTACCAGACTCCTTTTAATCCCAGTAGATAGCCCGTGAGGGATCTCCTGTTAACAGCAGTAAACAACGCTAACAGAGGGTATACGCAATTTGTATTCGCCAAATACCAGTTGATAGGGAATACTAATTATCAAGCCTAGTAGGAGCGACAAAGTGTATCCCAATATCAAGAGCACAAGAGGAGTTCGCATTCCGAAGGTCAAATAGTTTGATAGTTCAAGAGTTCGACAGTTCAAGAGTTCAAAGTAAGATTCAATAATTTCTAAAGAGTTCCTAAGAATACAAGACCATAATCTACCAAACCATAGTCATCCCAATTACCCATTATATATTCCTCTCTATTGTTCTCAAACTTTCCAGTATACTCTCATACAGAATAGAATAGTCTAGACAAGTACAGAACAGAACAGATTATGATAGAATATCGTAAAATGGCTCCCATATTGTCGTACATAGTTCCTATTGTTTTAGAATAGGTCCTTGGTCTGTGACAGCCAACACAGGAATAATAGGAAACTCAACCACCAAACCCTTCTTCAATTACTCCCATTAATGTTATATTAACTAGGCTATATAGGAGCAGGACGATGGATATTCTTGGGGAAGTTATGCTCACAGTTGGTCTCTTTAATCGCTGCCACGTGCGTTCTCGTGGTTTGAAAGACTTTATTAAATTGGGAGGCCTTCTATAGCTGTATGACTGCAGAGAAGACAAGGGAATTAGCACAGTGGAAGAAGGTTAGATAGAATGAGGAGCGATAGTATTGTGTTCACAAAAGTGAGATGAACTAAAATAACAAAGTATAAACTTTCTCCACGCAACTGATCTGCATGAGTAGCTTTATTGACGCGACTCATAAGTTTGTTGTACTTTCGCTCGTCAATGACCGGCTCTGCGCCGACAGGTGCATATGCAGGTCGTGCGTTGACCATGGATACAACCGCTGCCGCTCCTGAGT